GAGAGGCCCCCCACGATATCCAAGAGGCTTGTAACCCACAGCCCAGGCACGGTGGCGGGATTGGCCGAAGGCCACTAGATGCTCCAAGACGCCCGAGACGGCCTCCAGACGGCCCAAGAGGCCCCTAACATACCCAAGAGGCCTCCAAAAGATCTCCCAAGCGAGCTGTAAAAGGCCAACAAACATGGATGCTCAAGTTCGCTGGCAGCTTGGCTACGCTTGCGAGAAAAAGGGATGACACATGTTCTCCTCCTCCTCCTCCTCCTCCTCTTCCTGCTCCTCTGCGGCCTCCTCCTCCTCCTTCTCCTCCCTTCTTCCCCAGGGACCCCATTCACTTCACCTTTTCCTCCCCCTCCCTCTGGCTACGTCCAGCCGCGGCGAGGAGAAGGAACCCCGAAGGGCCTCTTGGGCTTGTTTTGCTAGAACTTGAGTGCGCGCGAAGCGCGCGCGATGGTTCTAGTGTGTATATAGACATCTGTTTAATACATGTGTGTACATATGTACAGTGGAGCGAAATATGTGGCGCGATAGAGGTGTTGCAGTCTATGTGATGCAGTCTTGGTTGTGAACCATGTATATGTTGTGCCACACGCGTATACGAATGTAGATGTATGTGGTGTATTTTCTGTTGTGCAATATCTGTGGTGCGAATCGCACTGTGCAGCCCATTTGGAGCGATCTACGTTGTACAACCTATGCGGCGCAGTCTATGTAGCGATCTATGTTGTCCAACCTGCGGCCCTGCGTGTTGCAATACATGTGGTGCAACCAATGTGGCTCAATCTGCCTGCTGCAGCCGATGCGTTGCAATCTAGGTGGTGCAGTTCACCCTGCCGAACTTCAAGTTGTCGACTCCAGTGCTCGCGCAACCATCCCTCCCACCCGCCCGCAACTTGGTTTGCAAAACGCATGCGCTTGCGATTGCGATGCATGCATGGCTTTTGCTAGTGCATCTGTGCGGCCGCGCCAACCCAAGCACGCGCGCGCAGCGGCCAGCTAGCTTGGCGCGACCGACGCGGCCGCCGTGGCGCTGACCGCTGGGCGCATCCCAGCGGGCACTTCACTGTGAGTCGGTGACTTGTGCACGGGCGCGGTACCATGGCAACGTCGACGACGGTAGACACGAGGATGCTAGTAGCGATGATGGTGGCGATGTTGACAACGACGAAGGCGTGACCAGTGCGGGCGCCGATGCTGACCACGCCGACGACGATGGCGGCGCTCTTGCGTCGGCGATGAAGATGTTGGAAAGAGTTCAACATGCGCGCGCGGCCGACGCGCGAGAGTTGCCCGCATGGTTTTCTTTGACACGGATCGCGCCCTCCCCCCCCAGCACGCGCGCAAGGGCGCGCGAATAACGCCGGCATGCGGCGCGAGAGGCCCGCTTGGCAGACGTACATGAACACGTTGAAAATTTATGGTTTTCTCCAAAATTCGCAAGAGAGGGAAACAACGCGCAATTTCTGGTCGGCGGGGCGAGAGCGACAATTTTCCGCTAAAAGTTAGGCGGGCTACGCGCAGCTTTAATTAGGGAGACAGGGCACAGGGGAAACAACACAACAAACACACACACACACACACATATATATATATATATATACACATATGAAAACGGACGCTGCGAAACCATTGTTTTTTGGCATGCGCGATTAAACGCATTGTTTTGCACTCGCTGCGGGGCCGCAAGTTTTTGTGATGAATTCCGGCATGCGCGCGCGACGACGCGCGCGCGTGCGTTCGTCATGTTCGTTTGCAAAGGGTTTTCGCGACGGCGCTCGCGCAACGCGCCCGAACGATTTCGACATGCGGGCGCGAAGCCCGCTTGGTAGCGTGTTCTGAACATGTTGAAACACTTATGGCTTAGATTGCGATTTCGCAAGATCGCGCGGGCAAGGTGTCTTTACTCGTGAAATTCCGCGCTGCGACACCTTATATTCCTGAACACGAATTATTTTGGACGCTCGATTTTGAAATCTTCAAGAGACCCCAGGTTTTTGAAGGACTTCGGCATGCGCGCGCTACGACGCGCGCGCGTGCACTTTGCCATAACCGTTGCAAAGGATTTTGGGAACTTATGATTGTTGGTAAACTAGTGCGCGCGCATATTGTTGCTGCAGAGGATGGCGGGGGGGGGGGGGGGGCAGAGACCCGCTCGGCGAGATCGCGTGAATCCATATTTCGAATGGGCGGCGGAGCAGAATCATATGTACCTTTCCATACGAGAATGGGATGTGATAGTCCTAGTCCCAGAGGGGGGGGAGGGGGGAGGGAAGAGGGGCGGGGGGGTGGGGGGAAGGGGGGGGGGGGCGGGGGGGGGTACAGTGTATTATATTTTTCCGAAAAGAGAATTGGTTTTCACAAGTGAGTTGACCAATTCCATGTCCGCGCAAACGCCCCGCCCACCCAACCGCAACTTTGCTTGCAACAGCCGCGCGGCAGCGATTGCGATGCATGCTTGGCGTTGGCTGGTGCATCTTTGCGGCCGCGCTAGCCCGCGCATGCTCGCGCGCGCGGCGGCCAGCTAGCTTGGCGCGACCGACGCCGCGGCGGCGGCGCTCACCGCTGGGCGCATCCCAGCGGGCACTTCGCTGCGGGTCGGCGACTTAAGCGGGCGTGGTATAATGGCAACGTCGACAACGGTAGAAACGAGGATGCGAGTAGCGATGCTGGTGACGATGTTGACAACGCCGAAGGCGTGACCAGTGCGGGCGCCGATGCTGACCACGCCGACGACGATGGCGGCGCTCTTGCGTCGGTGATAACGGTTTTGGAGAGAGTTCGACGCGCGCGCGCGGCCGGCGCGCGAGAGTTGCCCGCATGGTATTCTTTGACACGGATCGCGCTCCGCACCCCCCCAGCACGCGCGCAAGGGCGCGCGAATGATGTCGGCATGCGGCGCGAAGGGCCCGCTTGACACAATTATATGAACATGCTGAAGGAAACCGTGTTGTTTCCCAGATTCTGCAAGAGCGTGAATGTATACACATACATATATATATATGTATGTATGTATATATATATATATGTATATGACGTTGCGAAACCATGTGTTTGTGTATGCGTGTTTGAACACCCTGTTGTACACTCGTTGCGGGTCCGAAGGTTTTTGATGGATTCCGGCATGCGCGCGTGACGACGCGCGCGCACTTCGCCATACCTGTTGCAAGGGATGTTTTGGAAACTTATGCTTTGTGATGAACGAATGCAACTTATGATTCTCGAGAAACTTATAACTTGGTGTTGGTTGCTGCATTTCTGCGGCCGCGCTAGCCCGCACATGCTCGCGCGCGCACCGGCCAGCTAGTTTGGCGCGACCGACGCGGCCGCGGTGGCGCTGACCGTTGGGCACTTCCCAGCGTGCAGTTCAGTGCGGGTCGGTGATTCGGGCGGGCGCGATGTCATGATGACGCCGTCAACTCTGAACACGGGTATGTGGATAGCGATGATGATGACGATGGTGGCGATGACGACGACAAGCCAAAGATGGCGCCGATGTTGACCAAGCCCGCCGATGACAATGACGATGTCTTCGCGTCGGCGATGAATGCCTTTGAAGGAGTTCGACGCGCGCGCGCGGCCGACGCGCGCGAATGGCCCGCGCGGTATTATTTGACACGGGTCGTGCCCCTTTCCTAGCATGCGCGCAAGGGCGTTCAAATGAGTTTGACATGCGGCGCGAGAGGCCCGTGTTGAGCAACATCGGATGACCAGGTTGAGCAACCTATGCTCCCCCGGAAAATCCGCAAGGCCGTGCGTTTGTTTGGTATATATATATATATATATATATATATATATATATATATGTATGTGTATATATATATGTATATATATGTATATGAACAAGCGTGTTATTGCAAAGCCACGTGCTTGTATACATTGTCGGGGCACGCGTTTTTGAAATCTTTGCGGAACCGAGCACTTTTGAAGGGTTCCAGCATGCGCGCGCGACGACGCGCGCTTGCGCACGTCGTGTTAGCTGTTGCAAGGGATGCTTGCGACAGCACGCGCGTAATGGCATTCGAGCAATTTCAACCCCATGTTGTTTTAAGAACTCGCAAGAGCGTGGGCGCAGATTTTTTTGAAAACCTGCGTTGCGAAACCCAGTGTGTTTATATGTTTCGGGACACTGGATTTTGAATGTTGTACGACACTTTCGGTTGTTTTAGGGACTTCGGCATGCGCGCGCGACGACGAACGCGTACGCATTTTGTCCCCGCTTTCGCAGGGGATTCTTGCAATGTTTTGATATTTGATAAAAGAGCGAGCGCGCACTATATGTTCTGCAAAGTACAGGGGGGGACCGGTACCGGCCTGCTTGGGATTGTATGAATTCAATTATCGGATGGACGATGGGAGAGAGTCATATGCAACTTGCAATAAGAAAACCATGGCCCGTTAACGTTGGGGGGGTCGATCTTCATACTCTTTTAAACCAGAGAATCTATGTTGTGCAACGGGGCGGCGGCGACGGGACGGAACTGCGACGGTAACCGCCAGACCGTCAGCCAGGCCCAGACGACGGGCGGCGACGAGGCGGCGACGGGGCGGCGACGGCGACAACATAGCCGCCAGACCGCCAGACAGGCCCAGACGACGGGCGGCCAGACCGCCGCCCAGGACCAATTTCTTAGAAAGAAATGAGACCTCTAAGTGCAAGCAACCACTGTTTGGGAATCGTTAATTTTGCCTCAAAGGCCCGTTTGGAAGTGCTCTTGTAGGTCTCTTGGGGGGTCTTGAAGGCCTCTTGGGCCGTCTGGAGGCCATCTTGGACGTCTTGGAGCGATTTCTCGGCGAATCGCAGGACTCCAGGACACATCGGAGATTTCTGGACGTCGTTTTGCGCGGTCACAGCGTCCAGAGGACTGGCGGGAAACACTTCAGAACTCACGGGGAACACCCCGGCAGACCCCGGAAAAAAACACACATTTAGAATCTTGGTTGCAGCAACAGCACAGCTGTGAGCCTTGAGGTACTCCACTTGGTGCCAGGGGCACAGTGAGTGGCGGATCTGGCAGACATCAGCCCAGGCAACCTCTGGCGCCACCCGCGCGACACGGAGCCTGAGGAGGAGGGTTCCACCTGCTGCCCCCGGGTGCTCGACATCCCTCTGCTGGTTGGTGCTGTGCTGGCACAGATGACCGCCTCGCCGGTGTTGCTGGCGGTGCAAACGCTGTGGCCTATTGTATTGTGCTTGGAGATGGTCCACGGGGCCTGGCTGCGGGCTGCGTGGTGTTCGCCCTCGCACAGGCTGGCTGTCGACGCAGGGGAGCTTCACGACTGGCTCCTGGGCTGCCTCTTCGTCGGCGCCTGCCTCGCGGTGGCCTCGATGGTGCTCGGGTCTCTGCGGTGTCTCAGGGTCTTCCCCAGGACGGCCGAGCAGCACAGGCGGTACCTCTTCACCCGGTCGCTCCAGCACGTCGTGAACCGTTGGTTAATTTGCTACGCCCTCCAGGTGCTGCTCGTAGGCTACGCACTCTGGATCCAGTCGAGCCGGTGGGGCGCGGCCTCGGACGCCTCGGAGTCAGAGCCCACGAGCCACGCGCAGTGGGTGCGCGCCCTCTGCTACCACTACGCGAGCGGCTCGGGCGCGAGCCCAGCGACGTGCTCGGACTGCCAGGGCGACCTTCTGGGCGCGCCTGGGCTGGCGTGGTTTCGGGGAAACCCGAAGGTACCGATTTCGCTAGTTACTCCCCGGACCTCTCCCGGGGGGCGTTCTGACCAGAATTTCGAGGCGAACCCAGCGGTAGCGACGAGGGCCTCCCAGGAGGCCCAAAAAGGCGAGAACGAGGCAAGGGTGGCCTCCGAGGTACGAGACCGGGGCGAATTCCCTGTACCTCAACACCACCTGGGCCCGCGAGCACGCCAGCTGGGCCTGGTCGCCACCTGCCGGCGCCCCGCCGGCGGGCGCCGGCGTGCCGTATCCCGGCTGGCCGCCCGGATCCGGCCGCTTCGCGTATGCGGCCGCCTCCCTGGGGGTCTCGGGCATCTTCGGCAGTAAAGCGTGGGAGTCTCGTGTACCCTCGTAACTCCGTCGTTTGAGTGCACTGGCGTCGATTGTTGTATAGCGTCGATTGAACGTCGGTGAATGTCGATGAGCGTCGACTAGCGTCGATCTAGCGTCGACTAGCGTCGATATTAGCACCGATATTAGCATAGATGAGGGTCGATTCGCAAGAGCAAGCAAAATGGTATGGGAGGCTCGCGTGCGCTGCCGCAGAAGGCATCGTCCTGGTCAGCGCCGGGGCGCTCCTCTGGCGCAACGCCCTGCTGAAGCTGGTGTTCACGGCAGTGGGGCCGCTCTGCTATTTTTTCCTCGTGGGACACGTGGCGCGCTGGAAGATATTCGGGCCGATCACCTCGCAGGTGCTCGTCTAGCAGAACACAAAGCCGAACACTGAACTTAACTAGCATAAAAGCACATATGCAATACATAAGCCATAAACTCACCTATCTAGTGGCCTTCGGCCCATCTTGTTACCGCGCCTGGCTTCTAGGTCAGAGGCCTCTTGGATGCTTGTGGAGATCTCTTGGGAGGCCTCTCGAAAGCCTCTTGGGGGCGGTTTTGGGGTGTTTTGACTGCCTATCGGGGGCCTCGCGGGCCTCTTGGGTCCTGATTTGGGCTTCTTTGGGGCCTCCAGGAGCTTCCGGGGGGCTTTTGGGAGCCAGCTGGCGGTCTCGGGAATCATTTTGGGGAGGAGGGCTCGAAATGTCGGCCTGTGCCCCCCGCTCGGGCCCAACTCGGGGCCATCTTGGGACGTCCCAGTGGTTTCTTGGGCCGTCTTGGGTCCCTCGTGCACCGGGGCCTCTTAGGGCGATCTCGGGGGCCTGTTGGGCCGTCTTGGTCGGTAACCCGACCGGGCGACAACGCCCTCATCCTTCCCAGACTTGGCTTAGACTTATGGGTTTGGCCGCTCGGGAGCCCTCTTTGGGCGTCTTGTGGCCTTCTTGGGCCGTCTTGAGCCATCTTGGGCATCTTGGAGCGGTCTTGGGCCGACACGAGGCTCTCGTTGACCGTCTCGGGGACCTCTTGGAGTCCTCTTGGCTCGTATTGAGGCCCTCGGTGCTCTGGAAAATCTACGCTGGAACGCAAGCGAAGCTGAGGAACGTCTTGCAGATCGGGGAGCAGGTCTTTTCATACTTTAGAATTGAGGGCTGAGAATCCGAAGTACCTGAGGACACTCCAACTCACGCGTCAGGGCACGGTCGACCCTAAACTGACATATAAACAATTACCCCAGTGCGGCCCTACCTAGAACCGTGACGTCCCTGGACCCAACAGCGGGGGGGGCATCAAAGTGGTCGCCCATATGGTCGCCCCTATGGTCGCCCGAATGGTCGCCAAAAACCGATATGGTAACCCATATGGTCGCCCAAATGGTCGCCAAAAACAGCTTTTTAGAAATATGGTAACCCCAATGGTCGCCCAAAAGGTCGCCGCGAAACGGGTAACCATTCCATGTGGTCGACCATATGGTAAATCAAAATCGCTCGGGAAACGCGCGGCGGTCTCTGTGGGCACGTGCGCACTGTATAGCACAGCATAGCATTACTACTGTTCGTGTGTGGGGATATGGGGTATGAGTATTTGGCAATCCTCAGACGAGTTCCAAACAGGCTTCAAACGTGCTTCACACGAGCCTCGCACAAGCCTCAAACAGGTCTCGCACAAGCCCCAAACAAGTCTCAAACAAGTCTCAAACAAGTTTCAAACAGGTCCCATACAAGTCTCAAACAGGTCTCGCACAAGGCTCACACAAGTCCCAAACAAGTCTCAAACAGGTCTCTCACAGGTCTCCAACAAAGAGCAATCAAGTTTCAAACACGTCCAAAACAAGTATCAATCAAGCCCCGAACATGTTTCGAAGAAGCTTGGACCCAGCTCCAATCAAGCCTCGTACACACTCCAAACAAGTCTCACATGCGTTGGGCATTCCTTGAGATTGTATATTAGTGGCGCTTCGCGCACCCCCGCCACCACCAGCTCCTCCGAACACGACCGCCAGACGAGACGCCCAGAGAGGGCGGGAAGAGAAAACATAAGGCAACCCAATGTCTGTTGTATCAACTACAAAAAGCTCTATTGCACAAGTGGTGCTGTGCCGTGCCCTGCTCACATGTCGTAGCATAGCGCATAGCATAGCATTGCTTACATTGCGTTGCGTAGCATAATCGTGCGAACCACGATAGACATTACATTACGTATCACTGCATTGCAGAGCAGTGTGCCCCATTGCCTAACACAGCGCGCGTTAAGCATCCTGCATGTTAGAAGCACGCATTGCATTGCACTCTACTTTCAACGCTTATCACTCACGTCCGCATCCATTTTTGTTCACGCATGCTTCGGTCCATATTGATACCGAACGGTTGTGTGAGGTCAATGGCTTCTTCAGGTGGCAAAGAATATGTTACAGTTGATTTCTCTCAGTATCCTGTGCTCAAAGTCGACCTGAAGGAACTTCCCATCGGGTACAACAAGAATGTGGTTCTCGAGATCCCTATTGGTTTGCAGATTCGGGGCAGGGCACACGACCCTACCCAAGAACAGCGTGCTTTCCTCAAACGGCTGCGTGACGACTCCGACCATGCTGAAGCCAAAGATGGAGTCAGCGCCGTGAAAGAAGCACGCACCCAGGGCAATGCAGTTGACAAGTCGTGTGATGTGGAGATAATCTCGTCACAGGAGCGTGAGTCTCAGGCAGCTCTTCCAGATGATGGTGCTGCTGCTTCCTCTTCCAAGCAGCCGCCAGCTCCACACGTGACGCCGGTGGCGATAGGGCAAGTGGTGATCGGTCATACTCCTACGGTGGCAAAGGCCTCGGGTACGCAAGACGCGATTGCCACCCAGACTCTTCGTGATGATACTCTCAGTCGTGCACTTAATTTTGGCGTGCAGCAGAGTCAGCCTGCTGTGAGCGAGCATCTTCAGAATCTTCCTGATGAGTGCGAGCCTGATGGCACTCAGCCTCCGTGGGACGGTTTAGACCACGCGTCCCAGCCTCTCTTCGGCGATATTATTAGTGAGTTCGCTGCGCCTTTGGATTTGTCTGGAGCGTTAGACGTTCCCGACTCGTTGTGCCCCTAGGCGTGCACAAGTGTGAGACTCGACTTTCCGAGTCGCTCTTCATTAAAATGTTGAAAATGGTGTGGAAGATGTTGGCATTGCGTGGCAGCAGTCTCAAAAAGGTACCAAACAGGACCCTGACAGGTTTCAAGCAAGGCTCAAACATGTTTCAAACAAGTCCCAAGCACGTGTCAAACAGGTCCCAAACGAGTCTCAAACAAGTCCCAGACAGGCCTCAAACAAGTCTCAAACAAGTATCAAATAGATCTTAAACATGTCTCAAGTAAGTCTCTAAGCAGCGTCCAACACTTCTCAAACAAGTCTCAACTGCGTTGGGCACTCCTTCTGATTATTCCTGGCGCTTCGCGCGTCTCCGCCAGCGCCAGCCCATCCAGAGACGACGCCCACGCGAGGTGTTCAGAGATCGGGGGAGAGAAAACATAGGGCTCCATGGTGTTTGGCGCAACCACTGGCGTAACCTATGGCGCACCATGTGCCGTGCCGTGCCGTGTCCGTAGCAAAGCATAACATACCACAGCGCAGCACGGCATTGCATTGCATTGAGTTGCGCATCCTTGCATAGCACAGCAATGCAACCCACAGCACGCAGTGCATCGCATAACGTAAGATTGCACACCATTGCGTTGCATTGCATGGCATCGCTTGCGCTCTAAGCATCCTGCTGGAAAGCAGCACTCATTGCATTGCATTGTGCTTTCAACGCTTATCAATCACGCCCATATCCATTTACGTTCAAGCGAATTCAGGGCATTTTGCTTGCATTCTCAATGAGCACGGCATGTTGACGTCACTCCATGCATGGACGAGTGGGGGATCGCAGCGCTGGAGGCAGAAGCAACAGCAACCGCTGCCGACCTCGATCGGGTGCTTCGCGAGTGGGCCGAGGCTGCAGATGTTGCCGCAAATGACACCATCATGGACGAATGGAGCCTGGCCGCTGCTGCCGCGAGTGGTGACTGCCCCAATGAACCCTCTGCTTCAGGCGCTGGCAATTCAGAGCTGCAAGGGCCATGCGACCTGCTGCAATGTACTTCTGGGACGGCTTTTCGGCAGTTTGCCAAAAGCGTCAAGAACATCGACGATGCCGTTACCTACGCTGGAATGGCTTGCCACTTCTTGCATGACGAAGATGCTCATAGAGCGCACGTGAACTGCCCCGACGAGGTAGAGGAGATTCTCGCCCGCATCATGGACCCACATGGGTTCAAGAGGTTGTCGTCTCAAAGCGTTGATGCAGATTCATCTGGGAAAACTAGGCATTGCATGGGAGCGGCGAAGTTGACCTTATCCTGCGGTGTGTTCCTTGTCCAGAGGGGCCAGGCCAACGTGTTGGTCGAGAGGCTGGTCGCCTCGGCTCGTGGCAATGGCTTTGAGCCCGCTGTATTTCTTGAGAGACATCGCGGCGACGAGACCCCATTCGCCAAGGTGAGAGTTCAGACGCGCATTGGGGGCACAACCATGGCCAGTGCAGCACCGCCAGAGCAATTGGCAGACCAGGACGCGGATGCCGAGGTGCCTCTGTGTCAGAAGCCTGAGGGGGCGATGGTGGCGTACGCCGTGAACGCCAAAGTCTACCAGAACGAATTGCTATGCGGTGCCCTCTTCACGTCGACATCTGGCTGCAAAGCATTGTTGGTATCGTTCGAGTTGCTGCAACCGTTGTCCTCTCTCGACAGGTGCAAAGCTGAGTGCTATGTTGAGATGTTTCGTTGCCTCTCCAACGTGCTGCCATCTAGATCGCAGTTCAGGCGAGTGCAGAGGTTGGCAATTACCGACGGCGATGGCGCGCTCGATCTGGCAGAGCGGGTGTATAGATATCGCAATCGTGACGAGCTTGTCGGTACACTCCATTTGAAGTGCCTTGTTCATCGTGTGTACCACTGCATCAAGAAGCCGCTTACGATGGTGAAGCCTTGGGTCACAGGTATTATCAGATGGTCTTTGAGCTTGCGAGGTCCAAACTACTTCGTCGACTTCGTCACCATCTTGTCCAATTGGCTGCAGGATAAGTTAGATTACCGATGGGATCCAGGCAGCCTTGGGGCAGGGCTCGAATCAGATCGTTATCGCGGTCGCTGCTATGACTTGTTTCTGGCTACGTCAGACCACTCGACGAGATACCAGCGAGTGAGGCGGTACGTCATCATGAGCATGGCGAATGGCAACATCAGGGAGAGAAACACTTTCCAGCACTATTGCCGCCCAGGGTGTTGCAGGGACCGAGCCCACTGTGTAGAAAAATTGACGGGGCGCTTTGTTCGCGCTCTGTGTGGCAAGATGCCTCCTATTTTTCCTCGGAGTCGCTGGACTCGGGTGCTGGATTCAGTGGATTATTTTGGCCTGCTGGAGTGCATACATGGGATGTGTTCTTCAGTGTACACCCTCTGGTACGAGATGACTACTGGAAAAAAGGTTTCTTGTGTGCGTGTGTTCTTCCAACCCCTCGGACTGATGATCGGGTGGCAAAGGCAATATTTACCGGCCCTGGTGGGCCTCTTCCCATGAGCCTTGGGCCCGATCATCTCTCCGACAGGCTGGAGGAGGACATCGCCCACCAAAGGTTGATCCTGCAGTGGATCTGGACTTCGCCAACGTCATGGCCGATCTTCCAGCAGGTGACGGCCAGCCTGGTGACGATGATCGGGAGCGCGGTGCTGGCAGTGCAGCTGGCGAAGCAGGCATGGCTCAAGCGCTCTCTGGGGACGTCGAGAACACTCGCGACATCTTGGAACTTGCATCGAAGCTGCACCAACGGATTTTTCGTCGTAGTGGTCTAGCTTTCGTCAGGTTCGACGGCTCTCTGATCATGGCTTTCGTGGTTCGGAAGTGTTTTGGCCCGATCTTCGAGTTAATCCATTTGGTGTTGAAGATTTCCACCATGCGCTGGGAGAAGGAGCAACAAGCGAGGGCCACCCACAACACTCGTCGCCATTACCGTGTGGGCATTGTATCTCGAGGACTGTTGGAAGATCATGCTCTGGACCGCTTGGTTGCGACAGCGGGCGACGTGGAGGGATGGACGAGCATTGCCTTTGATGAGCGTACGGTTGCAAAGAGGGCGATGGTTTTCAAGTTCATCAGTTGCCTCAGAGCTTTATTGTTCTTGCACTTGAAGGAGGAGCACAGCAATTACCCCTACAAAACATTCCTCACGCTCGATCACCCAGGTGGCCTGCAAACTGCTTACGATGAGGAGCCTTGTAAGAAACGGTTTGATTCTTGGACGGCTGAGTTTTTCAAGTATTGGTCTGCAGAATCTCGTTCCATCGCGTCCTCCGAGTGCAGGGCCGAGCTCATTGCGATCAAAGCACTCTTGGTGGTTGACACGGCCAAGATCGAATCCCAGCATGCGTCGATTCGACGAGATTTGTTTGTATCTGCTACACAGACACACTCGATGAGCATCCTCGACCTGAGCAGCAAGCACATCCAACGTTCGTGGCGGAGAGTGCAACGAGAGGGCGCATTGAAGCCTCGACGTTCGGACGAGCCAGCTCCTGCGGGCGATGGTGGCGAAGGGGATGCCGACGACGAAGACGAAGGTGAAGGACAGCAGCCGAAGAAGCGTCGTGGAGGAGGTGGCCGCTGGCGAGCATTCCAGAATGAGGAAGCTAACTCAGGCAACATTCGCACTCGCGAGGAGATGATGGCCGCGTACCGCGCCCTGGACGAGACGGAACGACGACGGTTAGATGAGGTTGGGAAGGCAGCAGCTCAGGCGCATCGGCTTGATGGCCCTAGTTTCTCAGTGGACAAGTACGCCAGGAAACGATTGCGACGTCAACGTGGCGAGGTCGGGGCCGAGTTGCGCCAGCTTGAGTTGGCACTGAAACAAGACATCTCTGAGAAGGACGCCGTGGACCTGAAACCGTCAACATCTATGGCATTGCCGAGTTCGGGGGATTGGGACTCCAACTTGAAAGCTGTCATCACGGGCGTTCGGGAAGATAACAAGAGAGATCGGCAGTTTGAGGAGATCGTTGGCAACGAGTTGGCCACCTACTCAGCCAAGGAATCGTCTACCAGAGACGCTGCCGACAAGTTCGCGTACGACGATGTGGGGAAGGTTTCGGGTGAGTCCGCTTCACTGCCTGTGCCTGATCTTGGAGTTCAGGGCCAGTGCGTGTTTCGGCACATCGAGGGTAAGTTCGACTTGGTGTCCAAAGATGCTTGATGCTTTGGCGTTGGCCAAGGTCAACAGGGAGACGCACTTCGGTCAGGGTTTGTATGCAGTGGCCCAGTCTACATGGGGCCAGCTCCACAAGCCGATCTTGTTCCAGAATGCACCAGCCTTCAGTCGAGAGGAGAAGAGAGCAGGCAGACACACATTGTGCCATAAGGCGAACATGTGCCTTTGTGGTTTCGCTGGGCGGGCGACCGAGGTCATGTTCAAACAGTTCAACGCTTGCATCAAGGCCCTCACCAGACACGACAAGCATCTCCGCCGATCACTTCATGAATGCAACTTCGTCTATTCAATTACTGGCGTCGAGGTGACGTGCCCGCCAGAGCCAGAGGTGATTGATGCTTACGCTTTCGAACAATATTGGTTGCACGCTGCGTGGCAGAATGGCTCTCCAGATCACTGTACTTTCACCTCTATGCGGCACCCTGCTCCAGAGCGAGTTTCGATATTCAATGCTCTTGGGCGCTTTGATGTCTTGACAGAGTGGCAGATCTTATCACAGTATACGTTCTTGCACAGACTGGATAAGGATTCGAAATGGTATGTTCGGCTTTTCTCTGTTGAGGAATCGGGCCGAATGATTGGTTCAGTTGACCCGAGTGTCGTCTCAGTGGACGGGGTTGCACTTCCTGATGGATCAGTCGCAGCTGCATGCTTCTGGGGGGGGCCCTCTGATGCTATTCATGTGAGGGAAGAGCCCGTTGCTCGCCCTGGCGGGCGGGGGCGCGGGGAAGGTGGAGGCGGCGGACGAGGCAGGGGCCGTGCCAGAGGACGTGGGAGAGGTGCCTACCCACCGGAGCCCGAGCCCCTCGAGGACGGCAGCGTTGGTGGTCACGGGGATGGGCCTCTTGCTGGCCATGGCTCTGGTTGCGACTCTGGGCAGGACGATACCGAGGCAGCTGCAATCACTGATAGCTGGCCCGCTTCCGCCCAGTCCCATGAAGAGTCGGAGGACGAGGTTGATCAGTTGAGCTTGCACGAGTCTGACCCCCAGCACTCGTCTGAGGCAGAAGGCGCAGGGCACGTAGATATCATGCAAGACGTGTTCGGCCATGCACTTGATGAGGGAGATCCTCCAGGCGGCGGTGAACCGCCTCCCGAGCCGCCAAGTGGCAGCGGACATGATGATATGTGCTCGGGTGGGGCTGGCGCCCCGCCTCCTCCGCCACCTCCTGCAGGAGGGGGCCCATCCTTGGCGGGTGGTCCGACGTATACGCTGAGGCTCCCGAACGGTGACAAGATAACCCACTACAGCTTCAGGGACGAGTTTGTGGCGCAGTGTAGCTGCCACAGCCGAAATTGCAGGATGACGAGAAGGAGCTCGAGTGGGGCTCGGAGGTCGCAGGGGCGCCCCCTCGGACTTCTGATGCATTGGCTTGAGAATAAGCAAGATTGCGGCGAAAATCATGCTCTCTCTCGCCACCTTCCTGTCGAGCACCACGACCGCACTGACGCCAGGGGGCGATTGAGCCAGATCCCTGGCAGTGACGAGCTCTTCAACCGAGAGCGGCAGATGCGCCCAGGCGAGGGCTTGGAGCCAGAAGACTGCCCTTGACGTGTTGTATGCGCCAGGGCTGCCCTAGGCAACGTCTGGTGTTGTTGGAACAGTTGCGTTTCTTTCATTGCTTAAAATGTAATCGATGCTATTGCACGGCTTCTTCATCACCATTGCCTGCAGTGTGTTGTGCACACGGATGTTGGAACTGTAGCAGTGTATTATGAACCGCCGCCGCTCCCCCCCCATAACTCGAGCGTGTAATGGCCAGACTGCTGCACCGCGGTTTTGGGCGAGCCCTGACCTTGTATATTTGGAGTCGACGCTGGTAGAAGGGACCTGCTCTGACAGGGGTTTCGATTTCGCTATCGCGGCAGGGTCTGGCCGACGCAATGGTTTCCACTTGCGTGTGGGTCCCAGGGGGGAGGCGCGAGGCTAGTAGCCACATGCCGCAACACGTCCCCTCAACAAAGAAGGTTGCGAAAACGGAGCAGACGCGACAGCGCGTAGCAGCGCATAGCATGGCATAGCACAGCATGGCGCTCGAGACCCCTACAAACGCTAGGCTGGCAAACGGCATCAGGAACTTGAAACGCATAACATCGCGTAACGTACGAGGCTGAGCTTCCCCAAACACGTGGCAATGTATTGCATAGCATGGCGCAACATACCATGGCATACACACCAACACATGCAGGACGCAGCCGTGATGCCCAAGGGGTGCCCCCCCAGCGCCACTGAGGAATATTTGGAATGCCCCTGACACGTGCCTCGAAAGCCCCTTGATGGTGTTTGGACGGGGCCTCGGCAAGGTCTGTGAAGAGCCCCAATCAAAACCACTGGGCCCCATCAGTCGGAGCTCCCTGGTGGGCCCTTCAATAACCCTTACGGGTCCCAGGTAGGCACGCTACGGGCATCATAAGATTTAGCCGTCGTATCATTCTGGAGGTTTTGATTCGTGGTGCCTTCTGTGCCTCTGGAGAATCAGGTTCAAACCATACGAACCTTTCAAGGTTGCCACAATGGCCCTTCACATGCCTCAAATGGTCCCTGGAAGACCCCTTGCAACACCCTTAACAAGTTACCGAAGGACCCCTGTCTGAAACTCTTGAGGATAGCTGGAAGACCTCGTCGCCACCCGCACTGATATCTGGAGGTTTCCATTTTGGACTCGTAGGGGTCTCTGGAAGGCCCTGAATGACCTGGCACTGCCTAGGTAGCCCCTCGCGAAACCCCGAACGACGTCTTGGGCGGGGCCCTCAAGGTAGTCTTGAAGATGATGGAAGGGCCTTTTGAACATGTCCGTGAGTATCCCCAGTAAGCCCCTCCAGAAGCCCTCGGTGGTCTCTGGAGAGCCCCATGAGATGCATCCGACGGTCTCTGGAAGGGGGCCTTTGCGTGCCCTTACATCGGTTCTGAACGTGACATGAGAACGTGTTTGCAAGGTTCCTTGAGAAGCCTTTGGCACGCAATTTGACACCGCTTCGCGGCGCCACACCAAGTAATTCTATAATGTGTTCACCGTCCTGTGGGTTGGACCCTCGTGTTGAACAGGCAACGCCTCGCGTCCCTCCTCCTTCCTCCACCGCTTCGATTCCTCCCTCTTCCCCCTCTTTGCGTCTGCTCCCCGCATGTCTCTGATTCCGCACACTCAGCACAGCGTGCCGTGGCCCCATATGGAGCTCCACGCAAGGCACCCATGGCACTGTTCGCATGCGTTCCCCCCCCACCCAGAACTGCGCTTCGTGGCCCCATAGGGAGCCCCATCTGAGGCCCAACTGGCTGTGTTCGCATGCGCCCACCCCCCCACCCAGCACAGCGCCCCGCGGCCCCATAAGGGGGCTCCACCTTACGCCCCAGTGGCGGTGTTCGCATGCGTCTCCCCCGCCCAGCACAACGCTTCGAGCGCCACATAAGGCCCCAATGGCGGTGCTCGCGCGCGTCTTCCCCGCCCAACACAACGTTCCGCGGCCCCATAGGGGGATCCACCTACGGCCCTAGTGGCGGCGTTCGCATGCGCAACCCCCTCCCCCTCCCCCGCCCAGCACAACGTTCCGTGGCTTCATACGGGCTCCACCTAAGGCCACTGTGGCGGTGTTCGCATGCGCCCCCCCCACCCAACGCAGCGCTTCGCGGCCCTATAGGTGGCCCCACCCACTGCCCCAGCGGCTGCGTTCGCATGCTTTTCCCCCGCCCAGCACAGCGTTTCGTGGCCGCACAGGGAGCTCCACCTCAAGCCTCGGCGGCGGTGTTTGCATGCGTCTCCACCACCCAGAACGGCGCCTCGCGGCCTCAATAAGGCGCGCCACTTGAGGCCCCAGCTGCGGGGTTTGCATGCTTTTGTCCCAGCCCAACACAACGTTTCGTTGCACCGTAGGTGACCCCACCTAAGGCAACAATGTCGGTGTTCGCATGCGCTCCCCCACCCAGCACAGCGCTTCGTGGCCCCATAGAGAGCCCCGCCTTCAGCCCCAGTGGCTGCGTTCGCATGCGCCCCCTCCCGAACAGCACAGCGCTTCGCGGCCCTATAAGGTGCCCCGCCTAATGCCGCAGCGGCGGCGTTCGCATGCACCCCCCCCCTCCCCCGCCCAGCGCCGCGCTTCGCCGCCCAATAGGGGTGCCCAACCTAAGGCCCCTGTGGCGGCGTTTACGTGCGTCTCCACCGCCAGAGCAGCGTTTCGTTGCCCTTATCAAGCTCCACCTGGGGCCCCAGTGGCGGCGTTCGCACGCGCCTCCCCAACCCGGCGCAGCGTCTCGCGGCCCCGTAGGGGGCCCCACCGAAGGCGACGCGCACAGCGACGGTACTCACCACTGCATATGTTTGGGCCCTTCGCCAAGCGGGCAACTATTCAACGCTGCCCGCCAACCCGCCGACTCGGCACTCACCCGCCCATCCCCGCGCGCGCGCTCGCTGCGCGCTCGGCGCTCGCGGCCAGCGCGACGCGCCAGCGATGGCGCGCGGCGCCGAGCCCCTGCTCCCAGCTCCGACCTGCCAAGCCCAAGCCACAAGACGGGCGCGTCGTTCTCGCCGCAGAGCGCGGCGCGCATGAGCCCAGATCGCCACGATGAGGGCTTGACTCTGGGCGCTTCGGTCGCGCGGCGGTGCGCGCGTGCGCAGCGCGCTGGCGCGACGCCGCGAACGCGCGCGCACGCATCCCCCCTCCCCCCCGTTCGCGCGCGGGGCCCGCTCGAGTCCGCGATTGCGTCGCGCCCCGATGGGGGGGGGGCAGCGCGCTGCGCCCAAAGTTCACGGCGCGGGAATTGAGCGGGGCGCCGTCGCGCGCGCGGTTTGTCGGCCCTGCGCCCCATCGAAGCCGATTGCGCCGCGCATTGCATCGGCGACGGCCCGCGCGGCCCGCGTCGGGCCCGCAACTGGAACGTCGCGGTCAACGTTGCACAGCGGCGCCGCGCGCGCCCTGGTGGCATTTGGCGGCCAACCCGCCATCCAGCCGATGTCTTGCGAGCCGCCAGCTGCGCGCGCAGCGCGCGATGACGCGGTAGCTCGCAATGTGGCCAGCGCCCAAACTGAAAAAAAGGCGCAATGGCAAGCCAGCGCGGTAGACGGATCGACCGCGCCAGCCAGCGTGCGCGCTGCGCGGGCACGACATCTACATTGCGCGCGCGGCCGCCGCGCCCCGCCGCCGCTCGGGGGCGCACTCCATCGGAGAAGCGCAGGCGCACGTCGCCCGCACCGTCAGCCGCGCAACGTCGCCACCGCGAATTGCCATTGCGTTGGCGGGGGCCTGTGCCTGGATCTCTGAGCAATGGCGGGGGCGGGGCGTCGGCGCGCCGCGTCGTGAAGCACCGCATCAGCCGCCCGAGCGCCGCGCGCACTGGCCCTGGGCGCGCGCGACCATGTCGAGGGCCTCGGGCGCGCGGTGTGCACGAGCGCCGAGTGCACTCGCGGCGGGGTCGCCACATGGTGGCCCGCCCCCAGCACACCATGTGGCGCGGGGGTGCCATGTGGTGCGCCTGGGGCCCAGCGACCATTCCGAAAATTTCCAAGAAGGTGACCCACCGAGTGCTAGGGCCCGAGCGACCATCTCGAAAATTTTCAAGAAGGTGACCCACCGAGTGCCAAGGCCCTCCAGGCCGCCCCGCGCGCCCGACACAAGGGGATTCTTTACTATTCGAAAATTTCCAAGAAGGTGACCCACCGAGTGCTAGGGCCACAACGACCATCTCGAAAATTTTCGAAAAGGTGACCCACCGAGTGCGAGGCGCCCAGCGACCACACCGAAAATTTCCAATAAGGTGACCCATCGAGTGCTAGGGCCACCACACCTCACACCGCGCCCGCGGCATGTGGTGCGCAAATGGCGGCAGCCCATCCCTCGTCGGGGCGGGCGGCTCGCGCGCGCCCCCGAGGCGTCGCCTCCAGGGCTCGCGCCGTGCCCAGGCGCGCATGTCCGACTGTGCATTCCGCTCGACGATTGGGGGAAAATGCATGAATTTTCGCAATCTACCCCCCCCCCCCCCTCCCTGCCCGCCCGCCCGGAAAGATTCGCGCGAGAGGTCAGCGCTCGTGCGGGCGGGGTTTGGCGCGCCGCGCCGAAGGGCGCCGCGCGCGCTGACAGCGCGCCCCAGGGTGATGGCTTTCTATACGCGGGAGCGCCGCGTTTTCCCTGGCGGCCCCGCGGAGCACGCCCCTGGGCGGCTCAGAGGCGCGCCCTCGGAGCACCAGCGCATTTGAGCCTTGAAGGCGCTCGGCGGTGGCGCGAGGGGATGCTGGGGCGGGGGGGGGGTTTCGCGAAAGCACGCGACATGGCGCCCGCCCGTGCGGTTCAAAAGGTTCTTCGTGGTCAGAAGGCAGCCGCGGGCCCAACGTTGCGCGAAACTAATTCCTGCCATTCGTCGGCCGCGCACCCCGCAGCCCCTCAAGGGTGATGTCCTGTGTATGGATCACGCTTGGCATTTGTATTTCTCGCGCCATCTGCGCGCCCTTTGCCCCGCCCCCCTGCCCCCGCCCTGTGCGGGGGGCGAGGGCGCACCCCTTTCGCTTCGAGGAAATCGGCGACGCGCAGCGGTGGTCCAGAAGCCCTCATAACACCCTGGCGAAG